AGCTGGGAGCAGGGGGCCTGAGGGAGGCTGATCCCACCGCAGCCGCATGCAAAAGGGAACCCCCAGCTCTGAGGTGCCCACAGCCACTCTGGTGGACCCGAGAGCCAACTCAGGGGCCCGAGAGCCACTTCTGGGGCTTTGTGCATCCCCAGTGCTGGCACCAGCTGCGAGGACAGGTAAGTAGTCACAATGCCCAGCTCCGTGGGCGCAGGCATCCTGGTGGCACAGTGCTCATGGAAGGAGAGGTGTCAGTGCTCCCCCTGCCCGCAGTGAGGTAACAGCCGCAGAAGCCTCTTCCCCTCCCCACTCCGCGCGTTCATCACCGCGGCACTCAGGGCATGTGCACACCTGGGCCGCTGTGAGTGCAGAGCGTCCGTCTGGGAGAGCGTGTAGTGCTGGCTCTGCAGGTACATGGGCACGGGGAGAACAGTCCTTCCAGAAGGGGACACCATGCAAGCTCAGATACTGCCAGGAAGGAGCTGTGCTCCATGTAACAGCGCTGGCTTCACTTAGGGCTTCCAAGCTGCACGTCTGGACTCCGCACCACCCGGAGAAATCTTCCCCAGGAAAACCAGCCCTCTGCCCCCGAGTCGCACCCAAGATTTAGCAGCACCAGTCCATGTTTCGCTAACGAATGCTCGCCTATTACTCATCACTTGCACCATGGTGGATCTGGGCAGCTCTGTCCCAGAACGGGGCCTGCACAACAGAAAGACCCTCCCTTCCCAAGGAGGGAGATGGCAGGTGGAGCCCCACCAGCTCACGGCTGGCAGCAGGACAGCTCGCAGGGCCAACCCAACAGCTAGGGAGGACTTCCTGGCACCGGCAGGTAAAAAGGGGCTCGGAGAGAACACAGAAGCGCTTCTTTGCAAATCTTTTTCCTAACCTGAAGCATTTCAGTTTTCAAAACGCACTCACCTGCTCTGCAGGAGCACAGTGACTGCCTGAGCAGCAACCTCTGCTGCACGCACAGCTTTTTGTGCCCTGCTGGCAGCAAACCCCAAATTACTGAGCACCAGGGCTGCAGCTGCCAGACTGTGCGCCTGCCCTCCTCTTACGACAGCAAAGCAAGCAAATACAGAAGGAAAACATGCACCCCATGCCCAGGGCACAAGCCCCAGATGTTCATTCCTTGCCCAGGGCTCATCATCCTCAGCAATAAAATCTTTGGTCAGGGAATTCTGGAGTCAGAAGGCCCACAAGACATGCATGTTGGGCCTGCCATTGAATAGGAGGTTATTTAACACAATGCACTATTTCTCTTAATTTTTCATGGCGCATCTGTGGCTTGTTAAATCTAGCACAACTGTAAGGCAGAACTTCCCTTTCCTTCACAGATCAGGTAGAAAGGAAAAACTGGGAATCTTTAAGCTGAGCAGACAGAATTAACCGGCGTTTATGGCCTACTTTTAGCAAACCTGTTAGAATCAACCTGTTTTAAAAAAACTGTCTAGAAAGATGTTAATATGACACTCTTCAAAAGGACTCAGTAGAAGAGTAGAAGAATGAAAGGTTACAAGAGCAAGGAAACCTAATGCTACAGAAGTGTAGCAGGAGTGTAGCATTTCTGTTGTTTTGCTTTTTAATCCATCAAGTGTGAAGGATTTTTGTGGACAAACAGCCCACACGTAGAACCGGCTTCTCATCTTAGTGAGCAGACACAGCACGTGCCTTGGGTTTTCTAGGAAATGAGCAACCCACTTTGGGAGTCCCTAACACCTCCTGCGCTTGGAGCCATTCTGTCACTTGCCAGGTTTGATATGTTGTAGTAGTCATGGTGACATCTCATTTTTATTTTAAGAAAATCTGAAAGGCTTACAGCACGTGTCCCAGCATTGCAGGGAACAGCTGAGTAGCCCCATGCTCACTATCAGGACAACATTTTTTCAGTTCTCCCAAGAGAAGACCATTTCTTCCCAAGGAAATTTCCAAGAGAGTCATTCTGCTGTGAAGAACCGAAATAGCCCATCTTGTTTGGGCGAAAGCCTCCACTTGGGAATCCTTTGATATCACGAGTTAGGAGTTTTTGGAGCAGGGACAGTTCCCACACTTCATTCCTTCTAGGGGAAAATACGTTGCCCCAAGCACTGGCTGGAAAGCCTCAGGGGTTCCAGGCTGCCATCAAGAGCACCGAAATGTCAGACTCTCTACCCCTTCTCCAAGGAGGAATATTGCCTCAGAAACACTCTGCCCAAGTCCTGATTGCCAACAATCCCCCTGAGCTAGGAAAAGGGCAAACGTCAAATATGCACATATGAAACCAGGTAGCAATAGTCACAAAGTAACATGGCCCTGGGAAATAAAGGAGCTATAGAAACAGCAACAGGCAGAGAGAATCGGTGTTGCTGCTCCCCGTCAGACCCTGCAGACTCGTGACAAGACCATGCTCTGAACGAGGAAACTTGGTCTTAACTCCGCATTCAATTCAATTCAGTGACTCCTGCGTAGGGACCAATTCAGGGACCGCTGCCTCTCAGCAGTGAAACTGCTTTAAGCATTCCCTATCTGAGGATAGATCGGATGCACACCATGAGACCAAACAAAAATATTGGTCCTTCTTGGTTTATGCAACTGAGAAACCATTAAATGTTACTTTGCATAACAAAGCAGGTACAGTTTCTTTAGGTTGGGGTTTCCAAATCTGCTGGGATACAGCACTTCAAGAGGACATCTTCGTTCAACTTCAATCTAGCCCAAAGTTAAGTAATTCTAAACTGGCCAGGGATAAACGTTGCTGCTCAGGGGAATCACTGACCTGTGCCGTTTGGAATATCCATCTTGGGAGTCTGCAGCAGGGAAAGACAAGTGTCAGCCACCACCACAGTGACATCAGGCTGTCTCCCCTGCAGGAGACGGGGATCTGGGAAGCAGGCGACAGCAAAGCTTTAGGTTTTGAAAGCAGGATCTTTCCATCTCTCCACACAGCAATCACTAACCTTTTCTTTATGACATGGGGACAACAACATGAATATCAGGAAACAAAAATTAGGGGGGTTGTCTTGACACATCCCTTGTCAAGCAGCCTAGGATGCCTAATGCCACCAGCTGGTGTGTGGCACCCTTAGCTTTTTCCACTTATCCACAGAATATAGGTCACATTGTGCCTCCATTTCACCCTTGCCCAAATTCTCTCCAATTTATCTAAGCAGCTTAAGATACCTTTTTTTTTTTAATATAAAGTAAATGAAAACATTGATTAGATTAGATGAACTCCTTGAGGCTTACTCCTTTACACACTTCTCCAGCACCCAAAACAAACCCATTTTTTCTGCCCATTAAATGCCACAGTCTTTCACTTGGATGCCACGGGAACAGGCACATTTGCAATCGCAGGGGTAGCTACTTACAGTTATTTGAGCTCGGATGCTCCAACAGGGTTGGCCCGCAGAGAATTCAATGGTTCAGCTAGAGAAACGGTCACAGCAGCTGCGATTTCTTTATAACCATGTAGATTCATCAGTGCAGAGAGTGCTACTATCGAGTGGACATTCCATTCCCCTGGTTTATTAGCCTCTCTTCAGAGGATCTCTTCAAGTCTTTGTTGCTAAGACATTATCCACTCTTCCTCCTGTACCATTAAGCCAAAAGCCCCTTCTCTGGAGCCCCTAATGGATAAGGCATTCTGAAGCTGTGCTAGGATCCCAGCAGCACCTCCCTCCCTCTCTGCAGCTGGCCACAATTTCAGCAGGCCCCAGGCAATTACTTTCTGGGGGTGTTAATGGCTCCATTTAAGAAAGAGTGGGTGAAGCCTGTAATGGAAAAGCATTTTCTTTTATTTATCACCAAGCTTATCACTGATTCTGAAAATAAAATTTTTATTTACAAATAGTGTAGTGCAAAGTAAAGATAATTTTGGCCAAAAAGACAACACATTGCATATAACACAAAAGAAATGAAATGTGCGTGTTAGGATGATCTTCCTGGAACAGCTGGAGGAGGTCGCCTAGGGGGAAAAAAAAAAAAATAACCCAAAATTCATGGGGAGGGAGGTGAACAGAATTAAAATGGGAGGTAAGATATAACAAAATGGCTCATATACAAAATTATAAAATGGGTTAAGAGAAAAAGGCACAGAACATGCACAGTAAAGAAAAGAGCATGAAGGAGATGAGA